GTTTGGTGAGTGTCTTTTGAGGCAAAGGCAGCATCGACATTTTGGATGAAGAGGCTGTCGCACCTGACCAAGCTCCGTGCCTTGTCCTTTCTATCAGAGCACATTGAGAATCCCAAAGTGTGAAAGAGAAGTGGTTTTTCTACTTCGGATGATATCTTCATGTGTTGGTTCACGTGTGCCTGGCTACCTTCTTCAAAACAGCTGCATCTAGTGAGTGGTAAAGGTGAGCAGAGCATTTTTAACCCGAAACACTGACCACTGCATCCTCAGTTAAGGTCCGCCTTAACAGAGATCCATGATTTTGCTGTTGTCGATTCGATCAGGACAATCAACTGAGATATCTTGGAAAATAATACCGAGATACCCGGCCCGTTGTTCTCCAGGCACTTCAGACGTTTCTATTTATTCAAAAATGAAAAACGGTTCTAGCTAGCTACATTTCAGAACACAAGATCTGAGCGAGAAATCCCGAACACTCATTGGTGGAAACAACTGTAGAAGCAGCTAGGCAATATGTGTGCCCCTGCCCTCTTCGCAGTCTTCGCAGGCACACAGAGAGACAGACAGACAGACAGACAGACAGACAGACAGACAGACAGACAGACAGACAGACAGACAGACAGACAGACAGACAGACACACACACACACACACACACGCACAGTCTCAGTTTTCCAACCAGAAGCACAGAACTCGAAAACCAGCTGCTGAGAGCGAAAACTATCGTTGACTCCAAGAGAGTGGCTGTCGGCTGTTTCGTTCGCCAAACCGAACTCAACCCAGACATGTCTTCATCCTCAACCTAGACCTCGTGCATCTTGACCCTGTTCTCGCTCGAAACTTGCAAACACCCGTATTTTAGCATGAGTCAGTTCGCTTTTGCTTCGCCAGCCAAGTCACCGGGAAGACGGCGACTGAAGTCCAGTTGGCCTCATGCAAGACGCTGGACGACGTGACCGCCCTCGTGGGAAGCATGACAATGAGATGGAAGAGGACGACAGGGATATGAACGGAGACATAGTGGGCAAAATTTGCATCACACCCCTTTTCGCCTGTCACTTAAGAAGTGTGGTTTGACCTGTGCACTTTCGACTCGATGTCGCTTCCTATTACGCAGGACTGAGGGCAAGAAAACCTCAGATCTCAACAAAGACTATGATGAGTTTATGGCTACAAGCCGCAAGGACCTCGGGGTTCACAATCCTGCGATGAAGCTTGTTCCGCTCATTGCACATCTGCACACGTGTGTGAAGTTAGTTGCTGCTCATGGAAGTTTACACGTGGTTGCAGCCTTTGTGACTTCAGTGTTTTCTGGCTGGCTATTTTGCATCAAAATGAAGAATGAGTGTGTGCAGGAACCTGGGGTTCTTCATTTGAGCCGCCATGGATTCTGCCTTGCTTGCCCAGCTTGCTGGGCACCTTTTGGCCCAGGCTCAGACGCAGCAGCAGCCGCAGCAAGGCACCAGCTGGCAAACTCCCAGCCCTGCTGCCTCTCAGTGGCAGATGCCCACAACCACGCCGGCAGGGACACCGTCCTCCCAGACCACAACCACGTTTGCAGGGACGCCGTCCTCCCAGTGGCAGACGCCTGCAACTACGTCTGCAGGGACACCGTGCTCCCAGTGGCAGACGCCCGCAACCACGTCTGCAGGGCTACCCTCGGCAGGGGCACCGTCCAGCACTGCTGTTGAATTCGCCACTCAGTACGCCCAGTGTGCCTTTGCTTTGGCTTTGAAGCACAGCCAAGACCAAGAGCAGTACGATGCCATGACGAAGTTGGCTGAGGACGCGAAGAAGCAGCATGAAGCCGAGCTGGAGAAGGAGGCAGCGAAGGAGGCAGTGAAGAAGGCCGAGATGGAGGATATCATCCGCCTTCGAGTCAAGGCTGAGATGGAGAAGGCCAGGGCTTCAGAAGCTACTGCTGTGGCTGCCAAGAACTCAAGCGCCCCCGAGCAGGAGCCAAAGAAGGAAACGAACGCAGTTCAAGCTAAGGCCAGGCCATCCTTGAGGATGATGGGCACATATGATGTTCCAGGCGGTCGCTTGGAGGTCTTCAGCCGCCTGAAGCCAGTGAAGGCCGAGACAAGGTCTGACGTGGCCGCCAGTGACGGTGATGCTGGTTCCAGCAAACCACCCGTGCTGCTGCTCAAGGCAGCAGCGAAGTCTCGCCCGCCCCCGCCTCCGGCGGGGCCGCCTCCGCCTCCCCCGCCGGCAGAGGAGCCGCCGCAGCACGCACCGAAAAGGCCGGGCCCTAAACCCTATATACCCTATACCCTATACCCTATAGCCTATACCCTATACCCTAAACCTACACCTAGACCCTAAGGCCTAAAGCCTAAAGCCTAAAAAGCCTAAAACCTAAACCTTAAACTTTTTGATTAAATTAGTTGTTTGTTTTTTCTTCTTGGCTGGTCAGGATAAGCAATCGAGAACGGGAGAAGATGGAGTTCGGTGTTAAGAGGGCCAAGGGTGGAAAGGATCGAGACCACCGCTGGTACTGACGGACTTACAGGATTCCTCACGTCAAGTCACCTGAGTTTCAAATACTTGGATTTGTCACAGAGTGCACAGGCAGAGCTGTTCAACTGGAGAAAAAGAATGAGTGCTCCAGTCACGCATGAAATGTTTTTGTTGAGATACACATGCATGTGGCTGCATATTGTATGTGTATTTCGACCTTCCGACTGTGCAGGACGCCCAGAGCGACATGAAGGCGCTGGTCATCCCGCCAGACAAGAAGAAGAAGGTAAGCTCCCCGAAAGCCCCGCAGAAGCCCAGGTCAGGCAGGAAGAGTCGCCGTCGTGCACGGAAGCAGAGGCTTCCTGACGGTGAGGGGAGCCAATCCCCGCTCAAGCCCCGAAAGCTTTTCGAGGAAGGCTCCGAGGAGGAACCTGATCCTTCCCCAGACACCGGTACCACCTTGCGAGGTAAGCAAGAGCCACTTGAGGATGATGATGAGGATGCTGGTACCGACTGTGAGGATGACGATGTGTTGGGGGGGAGGTTTGCGGTTGCACAAAAGAAGAAGCAGGGGGAGGGCGACCCAGCCACGACGCAGACCCCGCCGCCCCGTGACTTTGCAACCCCGAAGCCAAAGCTGACGAAGCCGCCCCAGGAAAAGCAGCCCCCATCCACTGAGTCGATCCCGGACGACAAGGCCTGCATAGACAAGATTGATGAGGAGTTGCTGCAACTTTTGCCGGACAATTTGTCTACGAGCCTTTGCACGACCTTAGTGCTCGTAATCGCGATTGCCTTCTCCCGAACTTTTTTTTTCTCGAGTAGAGGCTTCCTTTCAATCAATTACCTAAGGAATGATTTGAGATGCTTCCTTCGAATCCTGAGCGAAGAAGATTTGCTGACAGTGGCCGATGCAAGGGAGAACCTGACGGGCAACGAAGGACCTGTAAGAGTGCTAAGTTCCAATAGAGTTTTTTGAATATCACGGTGTAGGGTTTAGGGTTTCGGTTTTAGGGTTTAGGGTTTAGGGTTTACGGTTTAGGGTTTAGGGTTTAGGGTTTAGGGTTTAGGGTTTAGGGCTTCGGGTAGTTAGTTTAGTGGGTTTGGGAATTTAGTAGCCAGTGGCCAGGAGATATCGTGGAGATGCTCGGCCAGGAGTCCCGCAAAGCCTTCACCAATCTGACAGTCAAAGGGAAAAAGTCCTTTCGCAGCTGGTCCACCAAATTGCAGGACTGTGGGTCTGTCGTCTTGATTTGCACCCTTGTTGTCCATGGGTGTGCTGTTGTCGTCACAATTCCAAAACCTCCTGCTTGTCAGGCCTCCGGAACGGCAGATGGCAAAGGAACGACTGTGCCGCCTTTGACAGCAGAGTGTGACATGCCTTCACTTTGCTTGCACGATGCTGTACTTCGTGCCAACAGTGTGAACTCTTTAGATTGCATTGTGGCTAAGGATGCCTTTCACTTCAGATGTGTTTGCCGCTATTATTTGCAGATAGATTGCCGTGCTTCCGGCCCCTGCTTCGAATGATGGCGAATTTTGATTCGAACCAAAGCAAGATTGCAACACAGCAATCGGCCAGATTCGGGGATCAGCCTGCTACCTGAAATGCAGAGAGCTTGTTGACAATCGTGAGCCTGCCTGGATCACTTTGTCAAATTGTTGGACATGTGACATGCAATTTGTGCGATTTAGGGTTTGGGGTTTGGGGTTTGGGTTTAGGGTTTAGGGTTTTATGGTTTATAGGGTTTAGGGTTTAATTAAGAATTAAGGTTTAGTTTAGGGTTTAGGGTTTAGGGTTTAGGGTTTAGGGTTTAGGGTTTAGGGTTTAGGGTTTAGGGTTTAGGGTTTAGGGTTTAGGTTTTAGGGTTTAGGGTTTAGGGTTTAGGGTTTAGTTTAGTTTAGGGTTTAGGGTTTAGGGTGTAGGGTTTAGGGTTTAGGGTTTAGGGTTTAGGGTTTAGGGTTTTAGTATAGGGTTTAGGGTTTAAGGGTTTAGGGGTTTAGGGGTTTAGGGGTTTGGGGTTTAGGGTTTAGGGTTTAGGGTTTAGGGTTTAGGGTTTAGGGTTTAGTGTTTTAATTTAATTAAAGTAACTTAGGGTTTAGGGTTAGGGTTTAGGTTAGGGTTTAGGGTTTAGGGTTTAGTTTTAGGCTTTAGGGTTTAGTTTAGTCAGTTAGGGTTAAGCAAATTCAAATTAGTTAGGGTTGAGTATTTCTTTGGCTTTAGGGTTTAGGGTTTAGTATTTTAAATTAATAAATTTAAATTTAGGGTTTAGTAAATACTATTCTTTACACTATTAGTGTAAATAGTAATACAGGTCACTGTTGCAAAGTGGCACACTGCAGCAGGCTCAGAATCTTTCGTTTTCTTTCAATTGAATTGGTTTGCACATCTAAAATATTCTAGCTGGTATGATGTGAAGTCTTGTTCTGAATAATATAATAATGCTAGACACATCAGCAAACACCTCGCAAAGCAAGTGTGCTTGGAGCCTTTGGGAACATGTGCTGATCACATGTGTGGGAGTGTCAGGACCTCCAAGATTTTCGTTGTGTAGTTTGCTCTGTTGCAAGGAATGTTGTGTTGTAGTTTTTTGCCCTGACAACTAGAGAAACGCCAGCTGTCGCAGGACACTGGGGTGTCTTGTGTTTCATTCATTGTTGGTGAGTCCAGCACTTAGTCGCTGAACATGTACTGGTTCTATATTGACCAGGATTGAATAAATACCATAGGTCTGCCTGAATTCACACTTGAGTCTAGGGGGAGGGCTTTCCGGAAGCAGTTGAGGCGGCCAGTCCTCGTGGCCGGCCAAGGCCGGCTGGGATTTTTTTTTTTTTTGGGGGGGGGGTTCTGTGATTGATTTTCAAATTCCAAGTGTCGACCTTGGCTTTTTGCAGTTTATACGTGCTGCTTGGGGTTTGGGCAGTTTGTGCGTGCTGCTTCGTGTAGTACTGGGCCAGGTCTGCTGCTCTAGTCCGTGCTGCTTGGAACGTAGTCTGTTAAACGTGCTGCTTCACTTCTCCGTGCTGGCTCAGCCGACCTCAGCCCGCCACGTGGCGGGCTGACGACGGACGAAGCAGCATCTACACGGGCAAATCCAACTAAACAGAAATTTTTGAGGTGTCTCAGGCAAAACCCACGTTTTCAACGTGCTGCTTCGTTGATGTTTGCCCGTGCTGCCTCGCCGACGTCTGTCCGCCACGTGGTGGGCCCACAACGCTCCGGCCGACCACGTGGTCGAGCCCCGACGCCCCGGCCGACCACGTGGCGGACGCAGACGCAGTCGAAGCAGCACTCTTAGCCCCCGGCAGGTATGGACGACTGGCTTGGCGAAAGGATCCGGGAACTCAGCCAGATGCCCGTCGTCGGGCTGGGGAGGGGTGCACAGGAGGTTTCGTGATAGTCCGTGCTGCTTCAAATGCAGATTTGAGTTTGACGCCAAGAATTGAATAGTATAAGGACAGAGACCCATGAAGAGAGGAATTGCTTACGTGCAAAACACGCCAAAGACCTCGCTATCTACGACGACGCCATCTATGACAAAGGGAATTTCTTGGAAACCTTGGATGGTGAGATTTCCGAAATGATCCAAGACGTTTCTGTTGCAGAATGGGAGGAGATGCTTTAAGTGCAACAATGTACGAAGGTAGTTTGAATAAGATTTGTACATGTTCTCGCTTGTCTGCCTTGTCCTCAGGACATTTTGAACAGCTTTCGAGAACAAGCAGCCGCCGTTGGGCTCAGCATCCGGCCCCCGAGATGTGTGGAAACTCCTGTCCCTGAAGATCCGGACACAGAGCCGCTGTCTGCAGATGCTAAAGACAGTCCATCAACCTACAGCGGGAATGACGTCATGTTCCTTCGAACAACAAAGTCTCAGCAGGGTGTGCTGCAGATACACAAGGCTTCTCGCCTGCAAAGTGTCTGAACCGTATGGGTTGCTGAATGTAGTATGTAGTCCATGATTGTCTGTCGTACTTGGGCAGGTTTCGCAGGAGAACTCCATTGATGGATATGAGCATTTGCTCCGCATAGAGGAATGCTGGCGGATATTGAAACGCCAGCAGCAGTTCCACAATTGGTTTACAAAGAAGACGCTGGGAATAGAATATATGTTCAGGGCATGCAGTGCTCCTTATGTGTGATGATCTTTGAGGAATGACTCCGTTGCCGACATCTTTGCCAAAGCCCTGCAGGTGGACCTGACCCGACACATCGTCCGAAAAGACATTTACAAAGGAAAGAAGATCGATCTGAAAAATCAGTCGCTGGTGCTGCCTTTCGATGGGTGGACGCTGCCAGCTTTGTATGCGGTCGTTCCTTGATTTGTTAATGTGTTGCTCCTGTGTTTTGTCACACACGCAAGCTGACACAGGATGCATTGCCTCAGCCACACACAGTTGCAGCCTTGGGTGCTTAGGCTGCCTCGCCTTTGCAGATCCGTTCTTGCAGCTCAACAATGCAGATTACGGTGCTCCAGGCTTTGACACTATTTGTCGGCAACACCTGCCCCGCTGATATGAAGCTGGCACTGTTGCCATCATTGCCGCAGTGTCTCTTGCTCATGAACAATCGTAGCAGCTCTGTGGTTGATTTTGTGGGCAAAAGCACACATTCTTGACCAGCAACAAAACCCGTGCCCATGCTCTGACAAACATTGAGGTTGCCTAGAAGTTCGCAGCCACCAGCTGGAACCTGAAGAACTCACCCGGGCCCTGCAATTCCTGGAGCTGAAAGAGAAGCTGCTCAGCTGTGACATGCAAGGGTTCTGTGTGTGTGTGTGTGTTACGTAATTTCTAAATTTAAACTGAATCAGATGGAATACGCAGGTGGTCTCGCTGCAAAATGCTTTCCACGCAACAACGCAAACTGTCCACAGGACATATCAGGGAAGGCTCTTAACTTGTAAGCAGTCAGTGCTGGATTGCACGACAATTCACGTTCGAACGCACCGCTGTGTTGGCAACACCATTGCCCTTCCAGGATGTCATGTTGCTGCCTTCTTGGCTTTTCTGCTCCGATTGCCACACCAAGACAAATGCT